CATAATAAAATGTATGTCCAATTTTTTTCTATAAAACTGAATAATTGAAATAAATGGGCAGCAGTAACTACAAACAGGAAACATTACACTAATCTAGACTATTAAAATGTCACTGTGTGATATTAACCAAGACCCCAATCAGCTAAAATGTACAACTGCAAATAGAAACACCTGTAAGGGCATGCATTTTCATTTTTATGCTGACGACTGTCAGATCTACCTCCCCCTTCAGCGGGGGGTCGATGGGTCATTATCAAAGCTTGTAGATGCCTTAGAGGATGTGCGCTCCTGGATGGCTACAAACTTTTTACATCTGAATGACGCTAAGACTGAAGTAATTGTACTTAGCCCTGGCGTGTCTACACGCCCATGCGATGCTGTGAATCTGGGCCCTTTAGCATCCGACATGAAGACCACCATCCGAAATGTGGGAGTGCAACTGGACTCAGCCCTTAAATCCGACGCGCAAATCAACCAGGTTGTGCGATCGTGTTTTTTTAACTTACGCCGACTAGCCAGAATGAAGCCCCTGCTGTCCAGAGTACATTTAGAGACTGTCACACACGCTTTTGTTCTTTCAAGGCTCGACTACTGCAATGCACTGTATGCCGGCCTTAGTCAGGGTGCGGTAGCACGCTTGCAGTTAGTACAAAACTCAGCCACTAGGTTCGTGACAGGAACTAGGCGCAGGGAGCATATCAACCCCTGTGTTGGCATCCCTTCATTGGCTGCCTGTGTAATACAGGGCAGAATTCAAGGTCTTGGTACTGGCATACAAGGCCTTACAAGGAACTGCTCCAGCATATCTTGGCAACCTTTTGCATAGGCATGCCCCCTCGCGGGCCCTTCGCTCAGCCGGCAGGGAGCTGTTGATCGTTCCACGCAATAAGTGCAGGTCACGGGGGACCGTGCGTTCTCTGTGTTGGCACCTGCACTTTGGAACCAGTTGCCTTTGGTGGTGCGTCAGTCACCCTCATTGGGGTTTTTTAAGACTCGCCTTAAGACCCATTTTTTTGTCGAGGCATTCCAGGATTAGCTAATTTTACCCAGTTCCGATGCCCCGGCCTCTTAATCTTTTTCAGGATTTTATTTTTGGCTTCTACTGTCCTCTTTTAATCGATTTTATGTTGGTTTTATGATTGTTATATTTTATTCTGACAGTTTTATGTTTTTATTGTGTTGTGTTCAGCACCTTGGGCATCTGCATTGGTCGCAGAAGGGGCTTTATAAATAAATGAAATGAAATGAAATAAAGGTTCCTGAGCCTTTAAATGGTCTCTCAGTCTACTTACATTACTGAAATAATGTAATTTTGCCCAGTGTATAAATGTTTCCAGCTCCACATAATTGTGTGTTTTTAGCAGCATTACTGTTGCTGGTAAGGTAATCTAGTAATGATTGAAGAAATAAATAAATAAAATCCTTTAAAATGACGCTAGAAGAATCACAAATCTGATGGAGGACTTACATTTACTCACTTGGGTCAGACCCAAACACAGAGCAGCTGAAGCTGGGTGGTAAAGACGTCCATGACGTGTGAGACTGATGCATCAGTGTTACAGCGGGACTAAAGACATGATCAGAAACAGGTTACAGCTGGATGATCTAGGAAGGTAGAAGATGGTGAGGTCTGAGCGGTGAACAGGTGAGCGGACCTTCAGGACGTCTCCCTGTCACGCCAAGAAGGGCACGGCTGCAGCAGCAAATCTGAGGGTCTGCAGCCGTAGATATTCATCTCGTCTTCCTCGTTCTTCACGGGCCGTGATGCGCTTAGAGGAAAATATCCACCTCTTTAGCTCTCAATCAGCTGATGATGGCTTCAACACACCGCGCTGCTTAATTAGTAATGCACACATTTTCTTATCAGTAACAGAAACGGCGTTATGATTAAAGAAGAAGATAATTAGTTAGATTACTCGTTACTGAAAAACTATTTTTTTTAGTAACACCATTATTTTAAACGGCGTTATTCCCATCACTGGTGAGACCTCAGGGGGATGTGATTGCTGCTAAGTGGTCAGGGACACAAAGTAAATCTGTACTTTGACACTTTGGCATTTGTTGAAACAGCAAATAGCCAAAATTGCTGAAAACGTTGTAGAAAACTTCTTGTTAAAATGTTGTCCTGGTGTCCATATTGTCTCTGTTTTAATTTATCTTGGTTCTACAACGATTTGCCAGAATGTCAGCCTCTCCTAGTCAGGTGAATCAGTCACCTGTCTGAACAAACAAAGCCAAATTAAGAGTTCATGATGACTGTTGTACTCCGGTCCTAATGCTACGTTCAGATGTTTTCTGCTACCAGCAGGCTTCGGCCTTTACCCAATAGGACCACATATAAAATGGCCAGGGCAGAAAGTCAAACTCATGCAGTTATTAAAAGCTGCATTTATACAGTCAGTCACTGAGTTAAACATGCAGGCTGAATGTGAAAACGGTCTTCTACGCCTATTTCCTGCTTTAGTGCCAACAGGAAATGGATAGAAAACAGTTGGGTGAGAGAAGCCTGACAGATCCATGTCATGCTGAAAACTAACATTTATGGACTCGCCCATCATGGCTCGCGATGGGAAAGGCTGCTGTTTTAGTGTGAGGGGAGATTATCTCTTGGTAAGTGGAAGCTAACCTTTAGCATTAGCAACTCCACCACACGGCAGAACTCCTTCAGACTTGTGTTATTTGTGGACATCCATGTTGTAAAACAAACTGAGTCAGTGGTAGTGTCATGTTGCTGTTAGCCAATCAGAGGCGAGATGTCTGAATATCAGGAAATAAGACTACAAATCCTGCCGTCTTTTGCTCACCTTCGGCTAACTTCCACTACTTGAAACAAAGCTCCAGATGTGCAGACCGCTGCAGGTGCAACACGGCTGAGGGTCTGAGTTACAAGTGGGAGAACTGTTCTGAACCTTTTGAGACATTTTACCTGCTTTAGGTCAGGATTGCACTTCTCCTGTGTGCACAGCTCCAGCTTGTTTAGGGCATGTAGTTTTTTCACCCCAGGTAGAATGAAACAAACACCAGAACATGTTGAGTCCTCAAAAGGCGAGGGCTGTTTGCCTGGTGTGAGGGAGGGGGACAGATGGCTTCACAGCAGGGAGCTCAGGTCCAACTGGGAGAGCAGTGTGTGGAAGACCAGTACTCCCACTGTTTACCTGACTCTTATCTGGAGGTGTGGAGAGCCCGGGGCCGCTGCTGAGAGAGCCCGACACTTGATGCCTGATGAACAGGTTACAGTCGTATCACCCAAGGCTTTTCAGTTCAAACTGAGAACAGCTGTTGTTCCCAGTGAGTCACAGCCTATGGGGTGGCAGTGTAAATCTGGCAGAGCTGACTGACTGGCACCATGCTCGTGTGTCTATTTTCAAGCCTGGGGTGCACACGGGCTTGATCTGGCAGGAACACAAGGAACATATGAGTGCTTGGTGGATATTGTATCCACGCTCAGCTGTTTTGTCCCCTCAGATCATCCCAGGTAGTCTGGAGCAAAATATCACAGCGCAAAGAGCGTGACCAGGAGGAGAAAGGCTGGGAATTGAAACCATCCAAAACTTTCCCCACTGGCACTCTCTGCCAAAGCGACTAAGCTGGAGTAGGTGGGACACTAACGGAGAGGACCTCCAAGAAGTAATGGAGAGGAAAGAGAAAGGAGCCTTGAGATCAGTCAGATATTTAAAGTTCGTCCTCTGGCTGTGACCGACACACATCTCTTGTTTGCTGAGCCTCGCTGAGCCTCCTGGCGGTTTGAAGCAACTTTTATCCCCATGTGAATTTTCTGGCATATTTAAGGCTTCCACTGCAGAAGTAGACCAAAGCTAAGCCCACAGCAAGTTCCATGGCCTGGATATAGAGCTCCAGCAGCCTATTGTGAAAACACTTTGATAGAAATGGACCGAGTTACTGTTTCCTTCAGAGGCTTCAAAAGTGACCCGCCATGTCTGACCTGTAGAAAAAAAGTCATACCTGACCAAACTCTAAGCATCTTTCTCTTTGTTGGATTCATTCAAACGTATTTAGAAGAATTCTCTTCTCAGAGTCTCTAGAAATCTACAAAAACATCCTTTAGCTCATCAGACAGGAGAATTTGTATCGCAGTAAATGGCCTCGATTGTTCCTTTTACCTCTGTTTTATTATGTTTGAGTTTCTAACATTACTTTAGTCAACTTGGTCAGAGAACCTGAAAGTAGTCCAGCATCCCTATTAACACACACACACACTTATTTTCCTCCACTCAGATGAAAGGAGGCGAGCTGTTGCAGCTGTCCTCATGGAGAATAAAATCCAGATCATTAGCATCAAACTATGAAATGATTGTTTCTGCCTGTAGGTGGTTTCCCTTTTGGATTCATGAGCAGCTTCTGTTTGTTAGCCCTTTAAGTGGTAGTTATTATTACTGAGACGCATGACGTTCCACTTGGACCTGCAGCTGCTTTTTAAACACATTTTCAGGTCAGTCCTTGCTCTCAGCCGTGACATCAGCATGTGCACTAGTGACCTTCCTACGTGATAAAAACAAGCGCTGGAGATGCTCAGAGAAAGCTTTTAGGCGTGAAACATTCGAACAGTAAACAGATCCAGCAGGACCTGCGCTGTGTTCTCCACGTTTTGTGCTGAGCTGGCCGTCCTAACCCTCTGATGGTAGTTAAGCTCTCTGAGCGTATGGCTCCCCTCATGTCCCACTGGGTGTGTCCACCTGTCTACCCACTATCACTCCTGCAGCTCCACTGCTCAGAGGTGACATCACTGGTAAAACACACACTCTCACACACAGATGGGTGCATGTAGGGAACACAAACATTACCACGGTCTCCATATGGACCGGTGTGCCTCTCTGAGCCACTCGGCCTGTCCGAGGGTGTGTGTTGTTTACTGCTGCCTGGCTGATGAGCGCTGAGGCGTGACCGTTGCTGCTGATGGAGACGTGTTTCCTGTTGCTCCATAATCTGTTTGTGTTTTTCGTTGGAGGTAACTCTGTACCTTCTGCCTTGTTTCTCCTCAGCGCTGATTGGGTGGAGATCCTGGAGCCGCGCTCCCGTGAGCGCATGTATGTAAACTTGACCACAGGTGAATGTGGCTGGGATCCTCCTCTGGGTGTTCCTGTCCGCCAGGCCGACGGCAACCAGTGGTGGGAGCTGTTTGACCCCCACAGCGGCCGCTTCTACTACTACAACTCAACCGGGCGCCGCACGGTCTGGCACAGACCCCAGGGAGCCGACATAGTGCCCCTCTCTCAGCTCCAGGCCATGAAACGATGCAGTGAGGCCTGGCAGGGTGGGGTGGGCGCAGAGAAGCACCGTACTGGGACCACTGGGAGCGTCGGTAGTGTGGGGAGCCAGGGGCGCCGTACCCCTCTGCAGGACCAGAACAGTGACAGCCCTCTGCCCAGAGCCCTGGAGTCCACAGAGGACAACGTCAGCTCTGAGTTGGACCCAGCAGGAGACAGCAGGACGAAGGGAGACGGAGGCAGCACTGACGACTGCAAAGACCCACAGAGGTAAGTCTGCCTAATATTCATTATTGGCTCATGTTACCAGAAGAAACCGGATCCTCATCACAGCGTTCACCGTCGTGAGCTTAAATTCTTCAGCTGTGAGCGTTTGCTAGATTATGTTAATCTTCAACCATCTGGGCCAGACTCAAACTGCTTCTTGTTTTCTTTTTCACTTATCTGAGCATTCCTTATGTCCCGAGTTTCCATACGAGCCTGTGAACCGGTTCAGCAAATGGCTACCAAATGGGAGGAGAAAAGGTCGGTTCTCTTAGGGTTACTGGTGCAGAACCAGCCCTAACAGTAAGCCATTGAGAGACCCCATCATGTGCTTGGTGTTGTGGCCTAAACCACCTTTCCCTGTTTCCAAGTCAAGCAGCAGACATGGCACCTCTGTTTCCCCTGGCACACGGCCACAGAGGCCATCTCAGTCCCTCTGTGTGCTGACCGCCACCCAACGCTGCTCTCATTTTGTTTTTCCTAAAACAAATCCAGAACCCAGCTTGTAGAAAACTGTAACCCCTCTTACGTGCATGCACGAGAGGCATGTGAGAGTGTTGTTTGTGGTTAATAACAAGCAGAACCGCTACATTCCTGCTGCTTACGAGCTGCTTCTCTGGGGTTCTGCTGCCGCAAATGTGTTTTTCTTTTCTTGGACATCTGTAGCTCTCACACTGTCTAATCCTGTAGTTTGACCTAAAGCGGGACAGGGACGTAAACATTAATCTAGGACCTTTCTGGACTGTATCTGCTGTTTGTGGAGGGGTCACACAAGCTGCCCCATGACTCAACCTTTCCCAGAACCTTTTCTGTCTCCCCTCTGAACAATAACCAGCTGTGATGCAAAGGAGAGTCGAGGAGTGGCGTCTGATACCCTGCTTAGCCATATGGTCCTTTAACTACTCGCCATCCTAAGATGGTCATTAGAAACCACCAAAACGCACAGCCAGGGTGGAATGTGTCAGTCAGCCCGGGGTGGATGAAACCACAGGCTTCACTTAGTGATTCAGCTCGTGAACAGGACGAGGAAAGAGAGAGGAGAACGTTTAGACGACTCAAAGTCCAGAGACAAACGCGTTAGAGATAAACTGGTTGTTCTGTCTCTCCACGACGGTTAAAACTGTAAGGTGTGTGTGTGTGTGTGTGTGTGTGTGTGTGTGTGTGTGTGTGTGTGTGTGTGTGTGTGTGTGTGTGTGTGTGTGTGTGTGTGTGTGTGTGTGTGTGTGTGTGTGTGTGTGTGTGTGTGTGTGTGTGTGTGTGTGTGTGTGTGTGTGTGTGTGTGTGTGTGTGTGTGTGTGTGTGTGTGTGTGTGTGTGTGTGTGTGTGTGTGTGTGTGTGTGTGTGTGTGTGTGTGTGTGTGTGTGTGTGTGTGTGTGTGTGTGTGTGCGCGCGCGTGTGCGTGCGTTACGCGCGCGCGCGTGTGATCCCCCTTCATTGGTTTTAATAAAAGTTACAGTAATGATCAATCATGAGATCAAAGGTGTCCAAATGAGGGCCAGCATCTTTACGGCAATAGTCGTGATGACACACGAGCTCGATGATCGACTTTGTTGTTGTTTCATCTGACCGTGGCCTCATGTCTTGGACACTCGGGTGAAGAGAGAGGCGGAGCTGTCAACTGACCACTACCTGGTGGTGAGTTGGCTCAGATGGTGGGGGAGGATGCCGGTCAGACCAGGCAGGCCAAAACGTATCGCGAGGGTCTGTTGGCAGGGTGTCCGCGGGTCCTTAAAAAGTCTTAAAAAGTCTTAAATTGGCGTTTCCAAATTTAAGGCCTTAAAAATCCTTAAAAATTACAAATAATCCTTAAATACAGTTTCCAAAGGTCTTAAATTACCAAAGGCCCACTAAACAAGATTATTTTATTTCTATAAAATTTTCATGAATTCCTAGTTGGTGTTCAGCGTTTTTTGTGTATGATATTGGCGTAAGCGGAACCGTACACATTCAGTTGGTTGTGAAAGGGGGCTATCTTTAGATGAGCATGTTAGCTGGTTAAGCTAGTGGGAGCTTGCGCCATGGGGAAGTGCAAGTTTAATGGTAACTGGATGGCTAATCCCACGTTCGTAACGTGGTTAGCACCGGTTCCAGGCAATAGCTGGAAATTATAGCTTAAATTAAGTTTTAAAAATAGCTTAAATTTGGTCAAAGTGGCCTTAAAAAAGGTCTTAAAAAGTCTTAAATTTGGCTCCCTTAAACCTGCAGATACCCTGTGTTGGGAACGTCTGGCAGAGTCTCCCGCCAGAAGGAGCTTCAATTCTCACCTCCGACAGAACTTCCAAAATGTTACGGGGGAGGCGGGGGACATTGAGTCTTAATGGACCCTGTTCTGTGCCTCCATTGTTGAGGCGGCCGACCGGAGCTGTGGTCGCCGGTGCCTGTCGTGGTGGCAACCCCCGAACCCACTGGGGGACACCGGTGCTGTCAAGCTGAAGAAAGCGTTCTATCAGGTCTTTTTGGCCTGTGGGACTCCAGAGGCAGCTGACGGGTACCGGCAGTCCAAGCGGAACGCGGCTCGGTGGTCGCCAAGGCAAAAACCCGGGTATGGGTTAGACAGCAAGACTTCCGTATGGCTTCAAGGAGATTCTGGTCCACCCTCCGGCGCCTCGGGGGGAAAGCTGTGCGCTACCAACACAATCTATAGTGGGGACGGTGTGCTGCTGACCTCTACTCAGGACTTTGTGGATCGGTGGGCAGAATACTTCGAAGACCTCCTCAATCCCACCGACACGTCTTCCAGTGAGGAAGCAGAGTCTGGGGACTGTGGGTTAGCCTCTCAGATCTCTGGTGCTGAGGTCACTGAGGTGGTTAAAAAGCTCCTCTGTGGCAAGGCTCCAGGGGTGGATGAGATCCGCCGGAGTTCCTTAAGGCTCTGGATGTTGTGGGGCAGTGTTGGCTGACGCGGCTCTGCAAGCAATATCGCGTGGACATCAGGGGCAGTCCCGCTGGACTGGCAGACTGGGGTGGAGGTCCCCTTATTTAAAAAGGGGGACCGCAGGGTGTGTTCCAACTACAGGGGGATCACACTCCTGAGCCTTCCTGGTAAGGTCTATTCAGGGGTTCTGGAGAGGAGGGTCCGTCTGATTTTCTTCCTGGCTGTGGAACACTGGACCAGCTCTATACCCTTAGGGGGATCCTGGAGGGTGCGTGGGAATTTACCCAACCAGTCTACTTGTGTTTCGTGGATATGGAGAAGGCGTTTGACCGCGTCCCTCGGGGGGCCCTGTGGGGGGTACTCTGGGAGTACGGGGTACCAGGCCCTCTGATAAAGACCGTTAGGTCCCTGTATGACCGGTGTCAGAGCTTGGTCCGCATCTCCGGCAGTAAGTCTGACTCGTTCCCAGTGAGAGTTGAACTCTGCCAAGGTTGCCCTTTGTCACCGATTCTGTTCATGACCTTTATGGACAGGATTTCTAGGTGCATCCAAGGTGTGGAGGGCATCCGTTTTGGTGGCCTGAGGATCAGGTATCTGCTTTTTGCAGATGATGTGGTCCTGTTGGCTTCATCAGAACGTGATCTTCAGCTTTCGCTGGAGCGGTTCGCAGCCGAGTGTGAGGCAGCTGGGATGAGAATCAGCTCCTCTAAATCTGAGACCATGGTCTTGATTCAGAAAAGGGTAGAATTCTCTCGATTTACCGGTCGATCTGCGTTCCTACCCTCACCTATGGTCACGAGCTTTGGGTAGTGACCGAAAGAACGAGATCGCAGATACAAGCGGCCAAAATGAGTTTTCTCCGAAGAGTGGCTGGGCTCTCCCTTAGAGATAGGGTGAGAAGCTCTGTCATTCGGGAGGGGCTCGGAGTAGACCCGCTGCTCCTCCACATCGAGAGGAGCCAGTTGAGGTGGCTCGTGCATCTGGTCAGCATACCTCCTGGACGCCTCCCTGGTGAGGTTTAACGTGCACGTCCAACTGGGAGGGGACCTAAAGGAGACCCAGGACACGGTGGAGGGACTATGTCTCTCACCTGGCCAGGGAACGCCTTGGGATTCCCCCGGAGGAGCTGGCCCAAGTGGCTGGGGAGAGGGAAGTCTGGGCCTCTCGACTTAGGCTACTGCCCCCACGACCCGACTCCGGATAAGTGGATGAAAATGGATAGATGGATGGATGGATAGATGGGTGGATGGATGGATGGATGGATGGATGGATGGATGGATGGATGGATGGATGGATGGACACATGATCCACAGAAACCAGGCTTTCTATTTAAAATATGCAAACTTGATTTCATGATGAGGTTTGTATTGGTTCTTCTCTAAAGGAGACCAAAATAGACATGTTGGTAAAAAACATCAAATGTTAAAGTGTTGATCTACATCAACAGTCTGCTGGAGACTGCAGTCAGCTGTCTGGTTCCTCATTCTAGAAACGTGTGTGGGGTTGTTGAGCTCATTCTAGTTATACATCAATAACTAGTTTAACTTTAATTTCAACCCAATTCAACATGGCCGCCACAGCAGACTGAAGGTAAAAACACAGAAATTTCTCCCACTGAAAATATGGAGTTTTGAAATGTGATGTTTCAGGAGACATGACCAAACAGCTGTACCTCCATTATTAAGCAACATAAAATAATCTGGGACTACATGTGCTGCATCTATTTCCATTTCTTAGCATTCTCCTTCAGGTCTTCACCAGGACCGCTTATGAAAGTAACCAGGGTAGAAAACGTCTCATTTCCTTTTCTCAGGTGTTTGATGTTAACACTCTGGCTATTCCAGACATGTCTGTACATGTCAGACCTGATCTGTTCCTCTTTTTCTGACCAGCACCAACCTTTGACATTCACGCCATTTCTGCTCTGTGCAGAAAAGGAACAATCACAGACTTCCCCTCTTTCTGAAAACGAATGAACATGTTGTCCTGACAGTGCCAGGCCTTTGTGTGTGTGTGTGTGTGTGTGTGTGTGTGTGTGTGTGTGTGTGTGTGTGTGTGTTTTAAGCTCATGCCCGTGTTTGTTCACAGTTAGCTCACAAGTGTTGCTACACGAGCACACGTGTCTGTCTGT